TGCATTGGCTTGTTTAGTTTACACTCGAAGTAGATTGGTCTCTCTAAGCGAGATCCCAATTCGTCGGTCATCCGACGTGACGTCGAGAGTGACCGACTGAAAGGGAACTGATAACTGCTGTAACTGATATACTTGATGTACCACGGAACAATTGTCTAGTGTTATTCTAAACATACAAATGAATATATATGTGTAACAATAATTGTATAATTAATGTAATTTTATTGCAGTCAATTATAACAGTTAGAAAATTGAAAAATTGAAGCTTTTTTTCTAGGGGTCTGATTTTTGTAGCCTGCTGTATCTGTGAATCATTCATTCATATGGAAAGCACTGATCTACCCTGAACATCCCTGCATATTATTTACACGTTATGTTTTTATGTCTTTGTTTTTTGGATACAGTACCATTACAGTAAGTTTACAGTATGTTTGTTTTATTCTGCAAGCATGCATTAAATTGATCAAAAGTGACAGGAACAACTTCACATTGTTACAAAATGTTATCATGGTTTCCACAAAAATATTAAGCAGCACAACTGTAAAATTCTAGTTAAACTGTGGAAATATTAAGAAATGTTACATGAGGACCAAATCAGCATATATATAGTAATAAATAAAATTTTTACATGTATTAAAATTTTAATAATGTTTCATAGAACAAAAATTACACTGTATTTAAAAAAATGTAGCCTTGGTAAACATAAGAAACTTCATTAAAAAACACCACCACCACCATACTTTTCAGATACTATTTTGTGCCTTCGTACACTGTACAACCTTTTTTAAGTGCTTCCACAGTACCCCATCAGTAAGGCTTCATCGAGACTAACAAGAAACTGTGCTCCTTTTTTGACTCATATTACACTAGATATCATTTAGCATTATCAGTAATATTATGGGAATTATTACAATGATTAACTTTTGAACTAAAAACAGTCAAATCGTGGTTGAAAAACACACTTGCCAAGTTTCTCCTCCCTTTAATAAATCACCTTAATAAGCTTTTTAGCCTTTAAAAACCTAACAGCCAGCTGGAATGTTTAACAAGAATAAAGTCATTTGCAGTCTTTTATGGCGGAATTTAATAATTATCAAAGCTAAACAAGTTGCAGACAGACATTACAAACATAAAGGCAATAGAGACTTACAAGTTCAAGAATCCGATCTTAAGTTTCTTCCAAGTACCACCAGTTGGGAGTCCTTCTCCTCTCTCTGTGCATGTGTGCATTTCCATATCTATTTTGATTCTTTCGTTCTCTTCCTCTCACTCACACGTTCACTGTGGTGTTAATTAGCAAAGGTGTCTGTTCTGACAATGTATAAAATCTATTCTTCTCTCCTCTTTTCCCTTCCGTATGTCAAATGACTGTTTCTGCTCTTCCTATCCACCTCTCTTTTATCTTTCCTCCTCTCCTCTCATTCTTTGTCTATCCTATTCTCTCTCTCTCTTTTTTTCTCCAGGCTTGTCAAAATGGGAACTCTCAACACTTGGAGCACCTGCTTTTTTATGGTGCAGACTCCTCATCCCAGAATGCCTCCGGAAACACTGCCCTGCACATATGTGCTTTATATAACAAGGTATAACTGCTGGTCCTGACACAAAAATCAAGCCAAATAATAAAATCGCATGTTTAAAATGCCTGTCTTACACCAGCATGAGTTTTCAGGCTGGTTTGTGCTAACTAGTGCTGGTCAAGCATACCCATGCTCTTCAGCAGCTGGTAAAGCTGGTCACCAGAATGGTCTTTCCAGGGATGCTTTATAGATCCCTGTGAAGATTTCATTATTTTGTGTACAAGTGGTGTATTTACTGGGGGCATGAAGTTGTATGATGTATAATGCTTGTTACATTTTATGGTCAGCATCAGATGGCTTCAATGTCTTCAGGCCGTTATTGTCTAATTTCACCATTTAGGAGAGCTGTGCCCGCATTCTGCTGTATCGAGGAGCCAATAAGGACACAAAGAATAACAGTGGGCAGACCCCCTTCCAGGTAATTATGAGACACTTGCAGGTTGTTATTTGTGTTTGTTTTTCAACGCTCTGCATATCATTAACAGGTTAAATCAATGTATTTACAGCAGAATATCTTACAAAAAGGTGTAAAGAATTATGGTCTTCGCTCACAAGACTATTATCTTTTAAGCATCCCTAAAGTTCGTACTAATATGGGTCAATGGGCATTTAGTTATGCAGCTCCATTTGATTGGAATCAACTACAAGATAAGTTATGCTTAAAAGAGTTGGTATCACTAATGATCAGCCCTCTACGAACACCTTGGCAATTGAATCGCCATTGGCTAGTAAATTTTTTAGTTTACTCACCAGACTGATAAGTATATATATATGTTTGTTTGTAAAATGGCACAGTTTTATAAATATCTGAAAGTACATTCTTAACATCAGTCAGTCAAGCATTATAATATGATAATCAATATTATTTAATGATAGAACTTTAGTAACTGAAAAACAGCACAGATCGCTTTACGGAGAGTGAAACTCTGAAGCGCTCAGTCAGAGAGTGTTCGGCGAGTGAAAATATATCTGAGCTAAACTTATACTTAGCCTCCAACTCACACACTGGCGAGTAAAATCTGAGAATTTATTAGCAATTGGCTAATATTAGACATCATTTAGTCGCCCAAAGTGAAGCTTTAGTCGCATATGCGAGTGATTTACTCGTAATGTAGAGGGTTGATAAATGTATTTTAAAGGATCTATTTGTAGAGTCACCTGATTGTAAAAGTTTTGAGTGATTTGTGTATGTTTCTGTGTATGTAAACGAATGCATTTTGTTTTATGTGTAACTAAATGTGCTGCCTATCTTGGCCAGGACCCTCTTGTAAATGAGATTTTAAATCTCAAGAGTTTTTAATTTCCTGGTTAAATAAAGGTAAATAAAAAAAAGAATTAAAGAAAGCTAAATTCTACAAACCCTCTTTCAACGTTGTGTATGTTGGTAAAGTTAAATTCTAGGTAAAGAATGTTTTTGGATGTTAAAATGCTTCCTCCCATCCCAGTTTAATATGCAGAGATAACTATAAGTTAGTATAATAATAATAATGTCTAAAATTATGTAAACACCTTGATTCTGCTGACTTATTTATTGCATGTCAGTTTAATGTCAAAACTTGATTTTTTTTTCCCCCCAAAATGACATGATTTTTGATAGTTATCACTTGTACAAGCACTTGTTGTGCTTGTAAACACATTTTTTTTTTTGCACTTAAATCGGTTGATGCTAATGGCACAGAAATGGCACATTTCACTTGCTGTTGTTTCGTAGCTTGTATAATTTTTGCATGCATTGTGAGTCTCAGGTGGAGTGAAGCTGCAGCGAGCCGAAAGAGTTTTACTTAACCTCAGCCATCTCCACAGAGCCAGCTGTGACTGTGATCGTGCGTTTGTGTTTAATATGAAGGGAAGTTAATGTGTGTGTGTTTAATATTGTGTTATTCCCAAGCCTTGCGTCACTGTGCGTCATTCACAGATGCCAATATTACTCGTGTGTGAACTTCTTTTCTAGGTGGCTGTGATGTCTGGCCATTTTGAGCTGGGAGAAATCATTAAAAACCACCGTGAATCAGACATAGGTAAGGAGCGGAGATTTATTTTGGTTGTGCCGGTATTTTTATTCTGTGTGAGATCATTTATTTGCTCTTCAAACTGTGTGACATTTGGAGCTTGATACTTTCATCTCTCTTTAGTTGCTTTGCCATTCACACAGTGCCTAAGCAGTGTTCACTGCTCCCTACACACTCAGCAGGGGATCTGTTGAAATTCACTTCATTTGTAATGCTTTGCAACATCATTGAATACAGACCACCCATGCAGTGTACGATTGTACACCGAATATCCTGTGAAGTGCATTTTGCAGGACATTATTGGGCAATTGGAGCATACTTCTGTCTGTCTTGGCATCTGTTCTCTCTCTCTCTATATGACTGTTACTCTCCTGATTTGATGTCAGTTCCCTTTTTGGAGTCTCCAAAGTATGCCCCCCAGAGGAGGGAGAGTTCTCGTACTCTTGGATTGCCCCATCCTCATCCCTTCTTGCGGGCCAACAGTGACAACAGTATGAACGTGCCAGACTGGATCGCTTTTCCTAACGCTGCTGGATCAAACCTAGTCTCCGTGCAGGTAATTTATTGTTTTATTTTTCAAAAATATGTATGTATAAATAAATAAAATTTTTTGGGGGTCTTTAAGTTTTTTTTTTCAAACAAAATTAGGTACTTTTTTTCCCCTTAAAATGTTATTAACAAAAATAACTAATCGCATATTTTTTTCTGAAATTAATCACGATTAACCCCACCTAACATTAAAGTTTTTAAATATACTTTTATATTGCAATAAGTTTACATTCAATCTTCAAATTAATGTAGAAACAAAATAAAGACAGTATATTTTTAATGTTTGTTTAATGGCATCTTTTTATCACTAAAGGCGAGTATCACTGATACCAATGCTACTAATGCCTCTAGGAAATTGCTCTTTTTTTCCCCTAATATTTGACTATAGCCATTTAACATCACAGTATAACTGAGAGGTGTCAATTTTAACATTTATTAGACTAAAAATAACAACGTCTAATTTAAGTGAACTTAAAACAATCTTCACATAAAACCATTATATTAAATGTCATATTTACCTGTGCCCTTCAGCAAGTAGGAAATATACAGAAATTAAATAAAGTTATCAAACACTAAATTCTAAATTAAATATAGATGAATCCTTAAAGCTACACAATTGATTGATTTCCTCTTTTGTTCTTTGATTAACAGACATCACAGCAGCTGGGTTATTAGGATATTTGGCTGCTATTACTTTAAGAGCTGTCGGTGCTGAATGTGACATGTCCGTAGTTTTATTCGCGTTTTAATATAAAATGATACAGGCTACAGTACGCGCCGCTGCATTTGTGCACGCAATTGAAGAGCATGCGCTACACACACAGTATAACGGCTGACGGGACAGGACAATTTGTTTTTACTGACCTATGACCTGACAAAATCTCATCTGACCGCAGTTCACTGATGTTCTACTGAAGCTCCTTGTCACCTGCACTGTTTCCGCTCGTTTGACTAGCGCCTTGACTAGTTGGAGTGCGTGTCTGAAAGGTCTCCTGTTTGATGTGCTCGTAAAAATGCTCTGCATTTAAATAAATGCAATTCTTATCAAGAAAAAAGAGACCGAAGCAGCGGTTGTGAGTGGGGTGGCCAACTCTAGCTCCGCCCCTGCGTTATGTTTGTGAGTAAATGCTACCATTCAAAAGTTTGGTGTATGAAAGTTTTTTTTTGTTTGTTTTTTTTCAAGCAAAATATATACTTTTATGCTTAGCAAGGATACATTAAATTGCTCAAAGTGAAAGTGAAAATATTCTACAAAAATATTAAGCAGCACAACTGTTTTCAACATTAATAATAATAAGAAATGTATCTTAAACATCAAATCAGTTTGTGAAGGATCACGTGACACTGAAGACCAGCCAAACCTTGACCCTTTGGTTTGACACAGTGTGTACAATACGGATTTATTCTGTTGGTTTGGACAAAGTACATACACAGATGTTATCAGAAACTTTAATTGTTACTCTTCGTGTTTATGTCTATCTGTCAGGGTCTAAAGCATGGCGCCACCTTGCGTAGCTCCAGCAGTCCCCGTGGAGCGCGAACCCGTTCCCCGTCCCGTGGCCGAACAGGTGACCGAGACGATCGGAGCCGGCAAACACGGGGAAGACAAGGGTGAGAAAGAGAGAGTAGAAAGGACAAGGTTATAGCTTGTCATTCAGCGAACTCTGTGCCTAAATCATCATCAATATTCACGTCCTGTGAAGACGGACACCTGAATGAGTCGAGCCAGTAATAAATGTGCATAAATGAATGTTGACCCTGTTGTCTGATACGTGTGCCTTTGTACAGCGCTGGCTCTATCAGTAGTCAGGGCACAGCAAGCGGGCAGCGGCGGCGTCTCTACAGTGCCGTGCCTGGCCGTGTTTTTGTGGCCACCCGCTCGCACTCGGCCCAGGGGGACCGTGAGATCAGCTTCAACAAGGGAGACAAAGTCAAAGGTGAATGGGTGTGTGTGTGTGTCTCTGTGTGGATGTGCGTTGTGTGAGAGTGTGTGTGTGTACAGTCGTGGCCAAAAGTATTGGCAGTGACATAAATTTTGTGTTTTGCAAAATTTGCTACTTAAGCTGTTGTGGTGTTCATTCACATTGTTTCTACAAGTAATGTGAATGAACACCACAACAGCTTAAGTAGACAAAATTTGTCACTGCTAATACTTTTGGCTATGACTGTATGTCAGCAAGAGTGCCATTAAATGTTTGTTTGTTTCTGTATGTTTTCCACAGGTGTGGATAAACGTTGTCTGTGTATGTATTCTGGTGACATGTGTTGGTATGTCAGTATATGTCTGTTTGCGAGCAATGTCAGCGTGCATGGTAGTGTGTGTATGTGTGTGTTTAATTCTAGAGCCTATCGCTCTGTTTACATATGTCACCATAGCTTGCATATATGCATGTTTCTTAATGAATTGGTAAACTCATAAGTGAAAAGTGATTTTGCATGTGATTTTGTGATTAAATGTGTGTACCTGAGATTGTGCTCTGAGTGTGTATCAGGGGCGTCATGCACCAATGTTTTTTTAAGGGGTACCAGGGGCAGTCCTAGCTGTTTTGGTGCCCTAAGGGGTATAAGATCATGCCAAAGAAAAAGAAAAACAGTTTTGATAGTTCATTATATAAGTGTGTGCAGGGGACCCACATTCAAAAACTGAACTGTCGTTTCCAGCCTGAGAAATGCAGTTCTAACTTTCTATTCATCAAAGCATCCTGAAAAAAAATGTGGAACCTAAATATAAAAGATGGTTATTCAAAATCCACTTGGCTAAAAAATGTGTCTGGTCATGGCGTTCTGGTCTATATATTGTGTTTTCGTGACTGTACACTGTTCATGTTTACTGCTCGCACACACACACTGTTGTTTCTCTCTCTTGATTCTCTCAGTGTTAAGTGTGGGTGAAGGAGGCTACTGGGAGGGGACGGTTCGCGGGCGCACGGGCTGGTTCCCCTCTGACTGCGTGGAGGAGGTGGCTCTCCGCAGCCTGGAGTCCCGTTCAGGTGAGACTCCTCATGCACATGCACACACATTAAACACACGTTATGTGTATCAAAGACATCCATGCTACACTTGGAGCTGTCATTTTGATAGTCCTAGATGTAGGTGTAGGACAGTCGGACTGCCACAGCTTCTCTGTGATGTTGTGATGTCAGACTTGGAGAGGGAGAGCAGCTATGATGACTATTAATAGTTTACAGCACTACTGGAGTGTGAGAGAGACCGATTGTGCCATTTCACGCTGTCTAAACTCACCGTGGTTTGGGCCACCGCGCTCTGTCAGAGCGGGAAACTTCAAGTCGGACATGTATTTTCCTGTCATGCTGTAGTTGCACCCTCACACCCAACCTCATGATGATGTGGATGCGGTTGTGTATGCGTCTTTCAGAGAGCCGCAGCGAGAGAGCCAAGCGACTCTTCCGACATTACACCGTTGGATCCTACGACAGCTTTGACGCGCCCAGGTAAGAACACTTTAAAATTTATGGATGTGCATTGCTGATATGTAGATTTCGATATGTTGTAATGAAGGACTTC